CGCAGGAATCTTGCAGTTGTTGCCGTTGTCTATCTTTAGCGACTGGAGTCAAACCAACATTGCAACAACACCAGTCGTGAACTGCGAACGTGGCTCCCAACTAGAAGGCTTCCTAACAAAACCACACAACGGCAACGACCCTGCAGCAGAGTCGAGGCCTTGTAGCTGATGCTGTAGCCTGGTAAGGGGGTTGGGCGCCAAACGGGCTTTTGGCTAAATCACGTCAACATCGCGAACAACTATATTAACACTACAGACCATTCTCCTGGCTTATTTGCAAGTCAGAGGCTGGGTCCGCACAAAGGGCTGATGCTTTTACTCTTTGCACCTCTACTCTTGACTGTGTCCCTTAAGGGGAACCCTAATCTCTATCACGAGGCTTAGGGCTCTCGGCTTGTGTTGTTTCACCACAGAGTTAGAGGTTCTTCCTTCAGGAATTAGGTTCAGGTTTGCGTTTGGGATTTATGTTGGGCAGAGGGTTTGTCTCTGATTTCGTATCACTCCAATCCCTGAGCCTGGACTCAGTTTGGGTTCGACATTGCGAGTCCAAGGTTTAGGCATGGCATGGAGTGGGAACTCTAGGCTTTGGACGGATTCCTCGTCGCACAGCTTGGCACATGAGGCCGCGGCCAGTGTGCTGGTGCTGCTGCCACAATGACGACTGCTGATCGAATGAGTGTGTCTTGACCGCAGCACGAGTATCGTGCGAATTACTGTTCGCATCACTCAGTAGAAGACTAGACCGACCGTCATCTTCTCGTTGGGCGTACTGTTGCGAAATATTCCTCACATGGGTATGTTCTGTGACGGACTTATCGATTTCCACTGTCACGACTACGACGGCTTCTCCGTTCTTTTCAAGTTTTTTTCGTTGCGAAGGTCCATTCGCGAAAATCCCTTTTTTGCCGTCTCGAACTTCATATTTACTCCCTGCGGGCTTTAGCATTGAAACGGACAATACATTAAAGTTCTATTGGCTCTGTTGGCTGCTGTTTGATTCGGATCTCTCTGTTAGCTTGCGAATTCACAGCAACGAGGCGAAGAACATGTACCAGTTTGTGTGGCTGAAGCTTAGTGTTTAGTGCTGATGATTCTGTCTTGTGCGCTATTCCAAAATCGCTGTCGGAAGTCGCAGCCTCAACTCACTCGCCGGGGCTTGAAAAGAAAAGCACAGGCGGTTTAAGTTGAATGTTCACGTCGATTAGGTATTTGGGATGCGCCTCAACAATCCCACGATCAGCCGCAGAGCCGATGATTTGAAGCATAACACCGGGAATCCCAGACACGGTATCACAATACGAGCTTTTCTATAGAGAAAATCACACGTTTTGAGCCCAGACTTTGCCAATCACCTTTTTCAAGATTCCTTTCTAGTCCTGGATAACCTGATCTTCACCCTACTCCCCGTATGCATCGCAACAAGCGGCCTGCCGCCGTCTGCAAGTAGAGCGCTGAGTAACTAGTAACTGATAACTTGTAATTAGTATCTGATAACTAGAATTTTGTTCTAAGTATTTAGCATTTAGTAATTGTAACTTGTATTGAAAAAGCGGCTGATTTTCACTAGTCTGTGTATTGATTTCGAGTCAATGACTTGCTATGGTCAACAAGTAACAACTAGTAGATAGTAAGTAGTAATGAGCAATTCGTGGTTAGCAGATAAATCATGAATGCTGACTTACGAGATTTTGAGTCGTGAGTATACTTAGTTACTAGTTAGTGGACGCATGGACACGTCGACATCCGGACAAAGCCAATGGGTGTTCAGAAGTCAACAGCCTCATCTCTGAGGATGCGGTTTTTGGAGGAGTGCAAGAACCTGCGGTGCGCTACTCGACTGTAAGATGCATCTATAAACCCAACGGCCCAACGAGCCTCCCGTAGACTTTCTGCTCGGATGCAGGCCGCGAGGCAGCCTGGCACTCTTGGTACCCGAAACCTAACATCAAATAGCTGCTACAGCACATCGTCAAGTGGTATGTGGGAAAGTTGAACTGTAAGAACTAACAGTGCATCAGCAAGCTGCGGCTTGGGGGATTGAGATTTCGCTGACACTGATACCATAGGATCTATTGGTAGTGCAGAGAGGCACTAGCAGCAGAACGGAGTCGGAGCTTGAAAACTAAGTAGCAATAGTAATAGAAGGAGAAACAGAAGCAGGAATGGAAGAAGTAGGCAGGCGTAGCAGCGTAAAGAAGGGCGAATGATAGTTTGGGAAGGAGTAGTGGTGGTGATAGCAAATCGCTGTCATGGGCATGACGGTAGCTGCATTCCCAGGCACCTGCACATCAGCGCAATCTGGGATGAGCGCGAGTGCCGTGCCTCCAGCCACACCCTACTAGACAAGATTCGGGGACCATGGGACCTATCCGTTAAACTATCTAGAAGCCTGTAAGTGAGAAACCTGTTCAGGCCCCACATAAGCGTCTTGCAACCAGAATCGTCAGTTCCGCGTATTGCTGGAAGCAGTCTGGCGGCAAAGCACTTTGCCCAAGAAAGCCCAAAACACACAACTCCTGCTCAAAGCCTCAAGCCCACATCATGTTAGCCCTGACCGAAAGCCTAAAGCTTCAATCAGAAACTGTACCCGTAACTCCTTTGACCCGGAAGCCCCCTCAACACACTCCACATGGGACGAGGGTTGCAACAGGAACCGGGGCGGGTTGTAACAGGAACTCTTTCACAGAAAACCGGGGGTCGTGACACGGAAACCGGACCACACTGCAACGGAAACCGGGGGCGGTTGTGACGGGAACCGCGCCTTGGGAACGGGAACCACGGTCGGGATTGGAAACAAAACCGGAACCTGAAGCTCGACACGGTGTCCAACGGCCGGAGACCTGATGTTGGTGTAAGGCTTAAGTGTAAGGAACACCCGGACAGGGTGCAACCACCGAGAAATCGACGAAATAAGGTGTCCACGAGCCGGACGCCTCATTTTTGGTGGGTTTCCACCGGCAGCCCTTCAAAGCCAGGTCTCCGAAGGCCGAGCACCTAATCTTATCTTTGTTTTCATGCAAAATATGGTACAACGCGCCGAGAAAACGGGTGGCGGCGTGGCGGTGTTGTGCTGTGTAGTGGGTGGTGTTGGCATGGTGGTTGGCGTGGGTGGTGTGGCGGTGGTGTGGTGGCAATACGCCTCCGACGAACTGAAACAGCTACATGGACAGACATGCGCCGCACCCAAAACCCCTCCCTGTAGCCTTGTCGCTCTCGCTTCGCGGCCGGCATGGTGTGGACCCGCCCCAAGCCCTGCCGCCTGTCTACGGAGCCAAAAACGGCCATGACAATCGATCAGCATCAGGCTGTGCTCAGCCAGTCGTAACAAAAGAAGAGGAAGACTCGATTCAGCGGAACGTGTGGGAGGATGACCAACTGCCAGCGCATGGCTGATGAGGCAAGCTGACAGCAACACATGTCACTGCATGCAACTAGGTGAAAAGCATAAACAACGTAAACAACGCCACTGTTGATTTTAACACCATACACCTCGCACCATACCACATGAAGCAAGCTTGCACAAGCCTGCCCTGCATGCATGAAAAAGGCTTACCTGCAGCCGCGCCCAACAACCTGGGGTCGAAACGTCGGGACGTGATGGCAGAAAGGTGGATGAAACCAGCCCCAAACGGGACCGACTGTTTTTGTCAGGGCTGTAGGAACAGAGTGATTCTGGCTTTTCTACGAGCTTAGCCGAATCACCTGTAGGGTCAAGCTTGGACCCAGTAACCTTGCTCGAAGTAGCGCAACCTGAGCCTCAGCCTCAGCCCGTGAGGTTGCAAACGGGTAAAGCCTGCGCACGTGCAGATTGACTTCTCTCGAAGCAAGGCTTAGGATTAGGATCAGGAGGACCCCCAAAACTTATGTCTAAACTTTGGAGTGTTGGGCGGCCCATCTTTTTCCAACGATGCCGAACTCGCAGATGCCCTGCCAGATGACCGCAGAAGGCACGACCTGGCACAGCAATGCAGCATAACCATATGCAGGAAAAGCTGCACAACTGCAGTGCGCGTGTTGTTGATTGATGTGGCCTTTAAACGGTTTTATGCCTTGGCGGAAAGACTTTTCGGCCAGCGAAAGCTGTTATAAGCAAAAGTTCTGTATTTGCAGGCAGAGGCACTAAAAGGTGCAACGCAGCATGGAACAAACCTTTAGCCCGCATGCTGCGGTGAAGGCTTTTCGGGCCCGGGCATTTTGCATTTGAGAGGACTATGTCGGCATGGTAAGCGACAGCTCTGGTGTGTGATACATGCCAATACCGTCAGCGTTGATTGAGATCAAGCTCGCATGCGGCTTTCGGATTTCCACAAGCTTAGAGATTCCAAGGCCCCGACGCCTTGCCCTGCGACCTCTACGAAATTCTCAAACTCCCTTGTGGCAGCGGCATCGATGACCTGTGCAAGCTTAACCCAAAAGGCTTGGACGTCAGGGACAGGCGACACACTCGTCCTGGCATGAGCTGACATGCAGCTGATTGAGGTACCGTCAGCGTTGATTGAGATCAAGCTCGCATGCGGCTTTCGGATTTCCACAAGCTTAGAGATTCCAAGGCCCCGACGCCTTGCCCTGCGACCTCTACGAAATTCTCAAACTCCCTTGTTGCAGCGGTGGTGCCTGACTACAAAACCACCATGCAAGGTTCCAGGCCCAAGCACTTGCCAGCAAAAGCCATGCGAACTCCATCAGTGTCACGGGTTGCTATGACGAATTTGTGGACAGAATGGTGTTTGCAGCTGAGTCTAGTAGTAGTAGTAGTAGTAGTAGTAGTAGTAGTAGTAGTAGTAGTAGTAGTAGTAGTAGTAGTAGTAGTAGTAGTAGCAATTGAGTCTAAGTGTCTCGGCCCGAACGGTTTTTACAGTCTCCTCTCCTGGGGGTTGCTTGGTGCATGGTCCTTGCTTCTGGGTGACTGCACCGCGTAGAGGCATACTGCTGTTTTGGGAAGTTGCTCGGACAGATTGTCTTTCTTGGCTGTCCTCTTACGGGGCCTTCGGGCCGGGGGCATGCCAAGATCGATTGCTCAGTCATCATCGACGCACAGCAGCAATGTGGCCTCTTCGTCAGCTGGGGTTGCCAGCAGTTCTAGTGATGGTGCTGGTGGTGACAACCGAGATGAAGCTGCAGCAGCGGCGGCTCGGGAAGCTGAGCGTAAAGCTGCCACCGAGAGGCGCCATCTTCTGGACCAGGTTGCACGCCGAGCACTCTTTGAGCTCTGTATGTTATTCTGGGAAGCCCACGTCAAGTTTCGGGTTTCAGACGGAAGAGCAGTCAGAGCGAGAGTGGATGCACAGCGACGCAACTGGCAGCATCTTGAACCCGGAGATGTATATGCCATCCTGGCGCCACAGATGGAACAGCAGGAGTTCGAAAGGCTACATGAGGAGTATGGATTTTTGGGAGGACTCTTTGACCAAGGAGTGCGAGAAAACGATGAAAGTTGGATATGCTCCACCGGAGCCTCTGCCGATCCTCCGAAGCATTTATACTTCCAGCACCTCAGCCGACTGGCCCAGCCAAACTTGCAGAGGGGCATTGTGGGACACCGAGCCCGTACGCTCATGGCCCGGCTCTTGGAGCTACTGGAGAACAAACTGTATGTCCCTGCCATGTATGCCCTATTCCCTCTGCTCGGAATGGATGGACAACGTGCCTTTCAGCAGTGGTTTGTTCGGTACTCACTGGGAATACCTCCCGATGACGCCGACCTGCCAGATGAGGTTCAGCCAGCCGCAGCGCGATCAACCAGTGGAGCAGCCGGCTCCAGCACGGACTGATCTGGGAAAGCATCTGCGACCGACTCGGCCTAAATGGAAAGCCAGCGGACCGCGACGGCGACGTGCTCGAGGCCCCCGGCCTGCCGGCACAAATTGCCCTACTCTGCCTCCTCGCTCGACTGCTGAGTCCTGGGCTTCTGATCGGTGAGTTTTTCTGTACAGTTCTTTTGCGCCTAGGCAACGTAGGCTTGTCAAAGTTCGGTGGCACTGCCTCACACTGCCCACCTACTCACCCTGAGCCCCAACCTTACAAAACCCCTAGGACCCCTAACAATGGCCGCCTTGGTCCCAAGTCCAAGGGTAGCTTTGGTAACTGGCTTCGTCTTCTGCTTTTCTGGATTACCATATTTTACACTTTGCAGTTAGGACTAGCCGCCAGAGCTACAGACACGAGGGTTGAGAGCAATCCACGCCTGGAACTCTCTGAAGTCCCGGAAACCCGCAACGATAGACTTCAGGGTCAGACGAACCCCAACGGCGACAACCTATCAGTGCCAAGGAAGCCTGCCATAAAGAGGGCCTTTCGCAGAGCCCAGAAAAGGGCTGCCATGCATGGCGGCACCAAGTACAGAGGCAAATGGTTCAGTGCACAGCAGTTAGGCACCCAACATGAAGAACGACCTCCTAAGGATCGTAAACCTGTGAAGCCCAAAGCCGCCCCGCAACGACTACACTTTCTCTCTTGGAACGCCTCAGGTCTCACCCGGGATAGGCATGCAGAAGTGCAACAGTGGTTGACACTGCCGGAGGCTGCGCATATCCAGCTAGCTGTCATACAGGAAACGCACTGGCGGAATGCACTTGAATATCAAACTGGACGCTTCTCTGCTGTACACAGCGGAGGAACTAAGTCTGAAGCGGGCCTTTTGGCCCTGATCGATCGTACCCAGCATCCCCCTCACAGCGTATTCTACGAAGATGTCATTCCTGGTAGATTGCTGCACATCCGCCTGACAGCCACTGAGCCTTGCACTGACGTAATTGTTCTTTATCAACATGCGTGGTCCATTGCCAAAAACAAACAAGCCCACGAACGTAGTAAGGACATTCTCCTGGCTAAAAGGGCAGAGGTCTGGGCCAAGCTTGTCACCCTATTGAACAGCATACCAAAGCGTAACCAACTGTTGCTTTTGGGAGACTTTAACTGTAGTCTGCAACCCCATCAAAACTTAGTAGGACATGGTGTTGCGAAGCACATTAGCGCGCATGCCAGTGATGCAAGTATGCTACAATCCGCACTAGAGCAGTTTGACCTGGTTGCCCTGAACACCTGGTCCTGGCAAGGGCGACGCTCTTGCACGTACCTGCCCGCCTCGGACAAAGGTCACAGCCAAATTGACTTCGCAATGGTCAATCGACAGCAGTGTGATCAAGAGGCTAGGCAAACCAAGCCTGTGACTCTGCCCTTTGTCCCGGTGACTGGCATGCGTCACCTGCCCTTAGTGGGAAGCATACCTCTACCTCATAGGCCGCCTTGCCCTACGACACCCCCGCCAATTCCTAGGAAAACTGTAGTTGATCTTCAGCGAAAAGACCCGCACATTATGACCAAGTTTAAGTTTGCACTTGAATCTTTACAGCAAAATACAAGAGCTTCATCTCCGGATCATCTTATTACCGAAGCTTGGAAGTTAGCTCGTGCCCAGAGTGTAGAAACTAGACACAGAGTCCGCCCACCCGACCTGGCTATGCCTGACCTTAAATCACCCACCATCACCGCTCTCTGGCAGTGGCGAGCTCGAGTGTCACGCATGCAGCAGCGAGGTGGCTTGCGATGTCACATGCGTCTGTGGCTAGCACACGCCAGGCTACAAAGACTACAGAAACACCTACGCACCGCATGTAGACAACATAAAAAGATGGTGGTAACGCAACTGTTGCAAGACGCCGCTGCGCAGCCTCAGAGCCTCACTTGCGTTTTCCGTTTGCTGCGAGTGTTGGCGCCGCCTGCGCCCAGACGGAAGCTTCAAATACGTACTGCGAAGGGTTTACCATGTAGTCCTTTAGAGAGCCTTGGGTGTGTACGCGACTACTTCCACGAGCTTTATCATACAGTGTCAAGATCCGATGAGCCACACTTTTCCCTAACCCCGCCCTCTACGCCATTACAGTTTTCACCAGAGGAAGTGACAGCTGCCCTCAAAGGCCTTCCGTCGGGCAAAGCGGTGCCCGCTTCACTCCCACCTGCGGTGCTGTGGAAAGAGGCGGCCGACTTGATGGCGCCTGACATTGCAGTGCAAATTAACAGCTGGCTGGCTGATATGCGACACCCCCCGCCTGATGGTTGGCACATTGCTGACATCTTTCTCTTACTAAAGCCCGGCAAACCACCGAGTCCCTCATCCCTAAGACCCATCTCCCTTTTGCATCCAGTTGCCAAAGCAATCGCTGTTATTCTCAAGCAGAGATTGCAGCCAGCAGCGGACGCACTCTTGTCGGAGTTGCCTCAATTCGCCTACCTGCAGAACAGATCGGCTCAGGATGCGCTGGATCGAGCGTTCACGCACTGCTGCCACGTTCAGTCCATTCTGCGCGCGCAGACAGCCACACCACAAACCCGATACCAGGGGCACACCGTCCTGCCCTGCAGAGGTGGCATCACATTAAGTGTAGATCTGCGTAAAGCGTTTGACCTAATGCCCCGAGCCCATCTCTTGACAGCCCTACAAACTCCAAAGCCGATCCAGCGCTGGTGTGGACAATAATGTCCCTGCATTCGCATGCGCAAATGCAATTTTCCTTCGGCCCGCACAAAACCACCATTGACACAGAGAATGGTATACGCCAAGGGTGTGGGCTTGCACCCACCCTGTGGTCCATGTTTACTGCGGTGGTCATGGTTCGCCTTCTGGAACAGCTTAAGCCAGAGGAACTGTCAGCGTTTGCCGACGACTGGCTCTTTCAATGGGTCATCAATAAGCCAGAGGATGTAGTTAGAGCGGTGCGATTGGTCGGTTTTGTGCTGGATGTTTTGCATGAATTTGGGATGCAGCCGAGCTTGGACAAAACAGTCATACTTATCAAGCTTAAAGGCAGCCAAGCCAACCGAATCATCAAGGAACATGTGTCTCGCAAGCATGGCAAAGGCCGGGTCATCAAGATTGCGACCGAATCCGGACAAGTAGAGCTTCCTGTAGTTGAACAGCACACCTATCTGGGCTGTCAGCTGAGCTACACCTGCTCTGAACTTCTTACGATCAAACATAGGGTTCGGCAATCTTGGAACGTCTTTAACCGACTCCTGCCTTCACTGCGCAGCGTCGGCCTTACTCGTGCCCTCAAGTTGGAGGTTTGGCGTGCATGTGCATATGCCAGTTTGATGTATGGACTGGATTGTGTTGTGTCCTCGGGGGCTGGTTCGGTTCTTATCAGCAAAACTGTAGCTAGGCAGCTGCGGATGGTCATCAAAGAACCTGTACATCTTACCAGGGAGCCTGCACAAGTACTTTTTGGTAAGCTTTCAGTCATGGACCCCCTTAAGGATCTTGCCCAAAGGGCCTTGCGGCGACTGCACAATTGCCGTTGCGGTGTCATGGTGTGCCTGCAACCTGCGCGGGTTCAGTCCAGATGGCAGACCCTGGACCATTACTTCTCACAACAAACACAAGACACGCAGGCGTCCGTTCTTCCAATGCTGTCACACCCGGCTGACACCCAGGCGCATCTAGTTGCAATAGCGCATCATGTGGAGCCACAGGCATGTCCGCACTGCGGGCTCTACTTTGATTCCCTCAAAGCAGTCAGAGTTCATTGCGCACTAAAACATCCCAAGCCCGAAACAGACGAAGTTGCAGTAAGCCTACCCCCGCCAAAGCGTACACAACAACAGATGCGTACTGATTACATGTGTCATGCCCTGAATGGCCTTCCCACTTGTAAGCATTGCCAGTGGAACTTCACTTCCTGGCCGTCCTTCTGTCAGCACTTTGAGCGCAAGTGTTGCTCGGTGCTACACAGTCAGTCACAGCAGGCATCGGACAAAATGGAAAGTTCAGCAGCGTCAAATGCATTCGTGCCATCCCTATCTACTCGGATTTGCACACCTTCGGATCCTGCAGTCACGGCCATTGCTTCCCTGAGTGATCTATGGTGCCTGCTGTCAGCCGATCTCGTTCAGCTTTTATCGCATACGGATTGGAGGTCAGTTGCGAAGCACTTTAGGGCGAGCGATCAGAACCACTGCATGCTTTGCAATCAGTGGCTTGCAAAGCCCAACTATCTCACGAGGCATGTCAGTGTGCAACATCCTGCTTTGCGCACCGTCCTCAAGGAGCTGCCGAGCTGGCTAGCAGAGCGTAGAGCCACAGTCTTCAGCCCGTGTCAGTGGTGCCGCCAGGACTTCAGTGTGCATCACCACAGCAGGGCTAAGCATGTGCAGTCCTGTCCCACACTCATCCGGACAGGCCTCTTAATCCTTATGCACAAAGCCTTTCAAGCCTCGCAGGAAACTAATGGCCGGCATGGAGGCGGAACTGCAGGACGAGCCCGGGACGGAGCTGTTGTCTGCCCAGAAGCAGATGGCGATGATCCAGAGCATGGCCAAGGCCAACCCCACCGGCAACCTGGGAGCGGGAGCGCAGCAAGTTCAGCAGGAGGAGGAGCGCCAGAACACCTCGGAGCCTTCAGCCCCCTCAGCGCCGACGCCGTCGCAAATGGACACCAGCAACCGGGACCACAAGCGCGGCTACCACACCGAGCAGCAGAAGGAGACGGCAACGGTCACGGAAAGGGCCCCAACAAGTGGCCGAAGACCAACTACAAAGGGGGACACTCCACCGATGGTTCCGGCTGGGGAGGCCACAAGAACGACTACTGGAGCAAGCAGTCATGGGACAAGGGCCAGGACAAGGAAACGGCCCAACTGGCCAAGCTCTGCACCTCGATGGCTCGCCTCGTTCTTCGTCACGAGGACCAACAGTCGATCGACCGCTCGGAGAAGGGATTTATTCTTTTCTGCCAAGCGAAGGGACTCCTCTCCATTGTCCCGGATTTGAAGAGGACGGCAGAAGCCTGGACGCAGCAGAAGGAGCAGACACCGGAGCAACTCACGCTCCCCATGCGGTCAGCTCTCCTGCACCAGCTCGTGGAGGTCTGGTACACCAGGATGGAGGCGGTTCCCCAGACGGAGGAATCGCGCCAGAATGCCCGGGAAATGCTTATCCTGGACAGCTCCGGCAACGTACCCTATCTCCAGTACAACCGGGAGGAGCAGAAGCTCGAGATCAAGAAGGACCGCGACCCAATGACACTGGAGCGCACCCTCGAAATGCTCCTGGAGCTCAAGGACCTGGTGTTGCTGCCGCTGACCACGCTGCGGTTCCACGCGGCCCGACGCAGGGCCTTGCAGAATCCCGGGGAGATCGTTCCCATGATGCTGGAGGTGGGCCTCCGGACTTCGGAGGCGGATCGGGCATGGAACATCCTGGCTCGACTGAGCCACAGTGGAGCCTGCAGAGCAGTGGCACTGAGCATGCGCCAAGAACGCCTGGGCCGCTCCATGCTCGCCCAGAACCTGCAGAAGATTCTCGAGGAACTGTCAGGAGCCTAGCACTAGGGAACACCAGTAACTTCTGCTACAGCAATGCCTCCTTTCTTGCCATTGCCTGGGTGCATTGTTTGCTTATGCAAGGGATGACTCGGAGCTCTAGTGAGGGCCTGCTTGGCACGCGCCTGCTTGCGGTTCTTGCAAGCCTCAAACGGAGGAAAGGTGTGATTCATCTATGGCAGCAAATACCCTGGAGAGCAATCCACATAGGCTGGCAGTCTCCCACGCAACAGCATGACATAGTTGACTATCTTCGGTTCCTCCGACCTTCGCTGCTTTCGGATGCAGTTGAATGCCACTGGGAGTCACGACTGGAGCAAGATAACCAAATTCTTAAGATTGAAGATGGTAATACTTGGCCTTTGTGGTTGCCTGATCCCCTAAGACCCACTTCACTGCCCCACATTAGCCTACAAAGCCTAGTCGATGCATGGCACCAGCATCAGGAAGGGCGACAAGGCTTGCTTAGTGTTCCGCCTGTCTTGCTGCTACAGGTCAATCGTTTTGGCGTAGGTCACCCCGACTCCCTAGGTAAAACCTCTGCTAGGGTAGTTCCCGAACCATGGGTTGTAATTCCCAAGTTCCAGAACGATCTGCGGCAGCCCAATGCGCTGGAAGTTGAGCTGGTCTCCTTCCGACTTGCAGCAGCATTGATGCATGAAGGCTCCGATGCGAGCTCGGGGCACTATAGGGCGGTGCTGTTTGACAGCAGCATGCAACTTCTCACTCAGGACGCTGTACCCGCAAGCCGCATCTGCAGCGAGACTCAGTGGTCTCACATTTATACCAATTGTTATGCCTTTCTGTATGTGCACTGCCCTGATGCCACTAGTCCCTAATTTGGGTTATAAGTGCCCCAGTCTGTGCCAATGCCGAACAGCATAGTCAGGTCATTCCTCACACTTGTACAGTTGTGTGTGATTTTTGCTCAACGTACTCCGGCACTCTACACAGACCACGGCGCTCTCTTCTTTGGGGCCCTCGGGCCGGGAGAGCGTCGTAGAACATTTTGGACTTCACAGAAGGTGGAGTGCGCGAAAGCGCCGGGATGCAGATCCTGCCCCAAAACTTGGACCGCCAAGCGAGACATCTTCTTGCTGCGTTCGGAAGAAAAAAGCAATTGAGTCTGACTCTTGATGACACTGGTGTATCGTGTTGATCGGGGATACGCAATGATTCTGCAGTCGTTTTTTTTCGCGGCATTTGCGAAGGGCTTTCAGCTTGCAGGTAGAGCAATCGCGAGGGTGCTTTTTGAGGGCTTGGAGGCTTTGCAGATGCATGCAACATGTTCATCATGGTCCATGGGTCTGATATGGTCTGATGACAATGACGCTGTAGTTGTACGTACGTCCTCATCCCCCTGCCCCCCACCCCGCCCCACCCCACGTAATTACCTTTGAAAGTTTGTCGTGGAAAACGTTTAAGCCACACACACACAAATAAGATAAAGTATCCTCGAGACTTTCTTGCACACACACAGACAAGAGGCCGCAAAGTAAGGAAATGCACGCCCAAGAGTGGCCTTGAAGGCATTTTGGCGTAGTGCGACCAATCTTTGCGCCTCTTCCAACCCAATGCCCTGGCATGGTGCGTCAGGAAAATACCCACCTTCTTTTCACGGGCTGCCCTATTCATACACAGGATAGGGTTAGGGCGTACAGGGACAATAAGAAAATTGATTACTAAGTGTTCTGGCTTCTCTATTACTTAAACATCGAGCCACCAGACACTAGAATCCGAAAGGGTTTTGGAGGGCTGGGGTGTAGCCTTATTGTTCAAAGCATAAGTTTGGGGTCTTGGGCCGGCGCCTTTAATTCTTTTGAAAAAAATTTGTGAAATTTAGAGTTTAAGAGTTTACGGTACTGCGGGCATTGTGATAATGATGGTGGTGATGATGGTGATGATGGCGAGGCTGATGGTGCAGTAAAGCACATTGCACACCAACGGCTTGAGTTGGAGCTTCTATAAACTCGGGCCCCTAGGTTTCTGAGGTTAAATTGACCTCGAATGATTGGTGAAGCTGGACCTTCGGGCTACCATAGCACGCAAGTACTGAATCCTCCACGTCCTGATGCATCCAGTAGCAATCCTATAGCCACCACTCTCTTTCGAGACGTCCAGATGTCCGACGCAGGAGAATATCCAACCCCCAGCTGCATCGGCCATGGCCTCATCTTCGACCTCCTCTTCTTCCTCCTCTTCCTCCGCAGCATCATCATCCTCAGCCTCGTCTTCGTCGGTCACGTAGGCAGCTGAACTCTCAACTTCCTCACTGTCGGAGCCTTCAATGCTCCAAGGAAGAAGCTGCTGCAACTGGACCACGAGATCTGAGTCCTTCGAGGTGGCGAAGAAGGAAGGCACCTCGCACCAAGGAGAGTCTACAGGATGCAAAAAGTCATCTTTTTTTCCAAAGGTTTCATCCCCAACCCTGGCATTCGTCGGGGGGGGGTCCGGGAGTCCTTGTTATGCCTATAGTATCATGGGGGCTTCTCAAACCCTACAGAATTCTACTTGTCACTGATGCCTCGAAGCAAATCTCAAGGATGATAAGCTTCCCGCTGCTTGCGAGGAAATGCAGCCGGAAGCGGCCCCCAAGCTGAGAGGCTCCAAGCCGCCCCTCGAGAAGATCTTCGCAAAATGGACAGTCACCTGGGACTCCGAGGAGAAGGGTCCAGGGGTCCTTCTTCTGACCTTCTCCTCCCTCTCCCTTCTTGGTCGAACTGGGGCAGCTTCTAAGTTTCATTCAAGAGTGCGTCTTGTCACTGGCTTTCCTTTCGTACTGGTGGATGCGAGTCTGCCACAGGCTCGTGGCTCTTGCAGGCAAGATGGCATTGTGGCATCTTTCAGTTGCTCTTTGCGTGTAACCACTAGCTGTCGGGGCCTAGTCTTCTTCGATCTGCTTTCGCTAACTCATCGGGGAGTTTCCGAAAATAGGGGACCCTAATACAGAGTACCTCAAATAGTTGGATCCGTAGTACAAGGACCCCAACATAAGGTACCCCTAAGACTCGGAAACTCCCATCGGGGGGTTGATGAAGCCAACGCTGTCTATACAAGCACCAGGCGCAATCTCAACCTAAACCCAAGAGTAACCTAGGAATAAAAAGGGTGCCCTTTTTGGTTTAATGGGGCTTGTAAGGGAACCTAAACCCTGAGAAAGGAAATAAGGGCCTACTCTGGGTCCTAGCAGTCCAAGCAACTGGTAAATTGACCAACCATTGCCGCTTCCGCCGATCCCAGGTCTAGTGTTATCTGCACTTGATGTGAGCGCCTTGAAAATTAGAATAGGGTTTTGGGGGTTCCTTATTATAATTATTTTATTATAATATACCCCTCCAAACCCCATTCTAATTATTGAGGCCCCTGTATTACCTTCGTGTTCACCTGCCTTGTCTGATCGAAAATTGCTGTGGGCAACAGCTTGTCTCAGTTTTCTTCTGAAGTACGAGGCCAGGAGCCTTGCAAGGTTCTATCACCTGTTGCTCCCTGCAGGCAGTTGCGCACGAAATTGCCGCACCATTTGGTTAATGTTGCTCACATGAGTGAGCTTGACATAGGGATCCCTACGGAATCTGATGGAAAAGATTGGCTACTCAATCGACACGACCACCTGATCAACCACATGTTTGAAGAGACGGCCAAAGCAGTCCGGCTAGACGCCATTGATGCCATCCCGTGTGGGGACGCCATACATAGCAGGACTGTGGTATAGGTTGGGGTCTAGTTTGGGCCACCTGCATGGACATCCCCAAAGGCATCCTGTAGCTGAGTATCTGCGCCCAAGTCACCCTCATCTCTACTGCAGTAAGGAGTCCCACAAAGTTCACCGGCAGGAATAGGCTGCACCCGCCTGGTGTAGGAACCGCTCGTTGAAGCCACGTACTGCAAGCCCATCACACGACTCAAAGCCTCAGGGAAGCAGCCTAGCACCGTCAAGCGCCAAGAGCTGAATCTTTCCTTCTTCGCTCACTTGAACAGCTGCAGTACCAGATTGATCTTTTGTTGAAGTGCTTTCTGTCAACTCACAAACGGCAAATCTTTGCCCGGCGATGGAATGAACTCCCAAAGTTTGAGGAATCGTCTTCCAAGCTAGAGGTAGAGGCAGGATCTTCTTGGCAAAATCCATCATTCGTGGCGCATGATGATTCAACAAAGTGCCAACTGGTCCCTCAAACAAATCATCATCGCCGTCCTCTCCAGTGAGCTCACTTTGAATTTTGACTGATGAAACAAGTGCAGGCCATGCGCTCTGCCGGAAGGTTGGCATGTGCAGAAAGAACCGACCGTGCTCCCAAGTCTTCTTGGCAAACATGGCCACGAGATCCACCGTGTCGCGCACAGACGAGGACCTGAGCCTCGAGGCAGCTGCCGGGAGCGTCAGGCGCAAGGCGCGGTGGCAAAGGTCCTTTTGATTCGCGAAGGGCTTCAAGGCTGCATGCCAAGCGCGGCATGTGGTCGCGCAGGCTGCGATATCGTGCCACAACTTCAAAGCTGCTACAAGTGCCTCTACAGTGCTCACGCCCCAGAATGGAAAGCGATGGAGACTGCAATTCATCCCACCACGCCAGTCCGTGAAGAAATAATTGCACAAATGGTCCAAGACCGACGAGCACACCACTGGTGTAAAGAGTGCTGACCTCGGCTTCCGCCAAACACATTGACTCTGCGCTTCTAGCGAGTATGGCCTACAACTGCAACTACCGCCTGGGAGCTAAAAACAACGGCATGGCCAACCCTTCGGGCTTATTCCCTCTGCCTTCGGCCATGCCGCGGTTGGTTGCAGACGTTTGCAAGCACAGCCGGCACTTCCTGATGCGGTGTTACCATCGGACCAGGTGCTGGGCCAATGACAGGCGACCACAAACCGAAGACGTCGGAATCACGGCGGATGTACAGCAGCTGCGGCGCTGAAGGCGAACCCAGTTGAAGGTAGCGTCGCTCCATGTCGAGGGGATATTGCGGCCTGACGTCTGCCAGGAGGCACCTTATCACTGCAAGCAGACGTTTGCAGCTGTTGAAACGGAATGCAGCTTGGGTTGAGTGGGTTGCCTACCTGGGTGATGACCTCAAGCGCATTGACTAGATGAGCTGTGGATGCACTTCTGCTGGCCAAGGCGCCAACCCAAACCTTCCACATACTGAAGAGAGACAAGTCCAGGCTCCATTTTGAACTGCAGGTCACCACTTCATTGAAAGATTCCACTGCAATGCTCCCAACCACATTTCCCCACGCGAAGCATGGACAAGTCAGAGACCTTCGGATGTTCAGGATCCTTCACCTTCAGCAGTTTACAAAACCGCTCCGCAGCCTGAAGTGCGGCTTTCCACTCAGGAATGCAGGCCTTCTTGGGACGAGGTTGCTGGCACACAAGAACTGCCGAGGCACCTGTCCGGCAGCTGACTTGCTTGGGTAGGATCACACTGCAATCATCCTTCTTGAGGAAGCCATGCCTCAAGCCGTGAACGGGCTTTGCGGGTACATCAGCCTTAGACTTCGTCCACCACCTCGCTGATCGAGTAGAACCGGTCCACACGAGAATGGGAATCCATGTCAAAACCGCAGAGCTTCACAGAGGTGTGAGTGTCACCTATCTGGTGGGCCGCCTTGGTGTGGACAATGGAGTTGGCAGCATCGATGCTCTCAATCTCTACTGAAACATCCCTAGAAATCGAGAAGGTGTTGCTGCTAGGGTGATTCACCACAAAGGTCTCATGCCCCAACTCGGGCACTCCTTTCACCTGGACTTCTGCACCCCGAGGAAAGCCATGGTTGGGAGAAGTGAATGTTGTACTGTACTTTGAGCACTCGATCTGGGTGATGCGCTTCGAGTATGCCATGGCGTCGAGAGCAGCCGGCTAGCCTGACTTTTTCTTTTAAAGGAAACGTGACGGAAACGTGTCGCTTTGGGCAGGCTAAGCACAGTCATGGCTTAGTCTTGGATTGCGGGGCTTCGATTTCTTGGTGTTTTTATCGCTTTTGGGGCTCCTTGACGAGTTCCTACATCTCATGGCGTTTCTTCTCCTTGTCCTTCATACCTGCATGCATACATCGATGCATGCATACATGTATACATATGCACAAATGCGTATGCATGAGATTATAGTAGTGATGCATGCGTTCTCGGACCTCCTTCGGGCATCTAACCATATGGAAAGATCCGTCGCAAGGCCAGGAAACCAACGTGCCAGGCCTTCCGGACCATAAGGAAAGCGAGTGCAGATATCTTCTATAGGGGCCTTAATAATTAGAATACGGTTTTGGGGCCCATTATACTATGATGATAGCAAGGAACCATCAACAGGACCGCTGCTCGAAGGATGAGGCTTGTTACAGATGGGTCAGCAAGTCTGCAATCAGTCGGGGGCTCAGGTGTCTGAGAGATCAAAAACCCCTCGCAGCAGAAGGGGCAAGGATCGAGTCGGCCGCGGAAGCTCGGGCAATGCTGTGAGCGACGAGAAAGTCTGGCATGTGACAGATGAAGGCTTTGGCAAGCTTGTGTATACACACACACACATGGCCAGCTGCAGCTGCATGCCCAACCTCAGGTCGTGAGTTCAATCTTGAGCACGCGACAAGAGGTTCATAGCCGCTCGCTCTAGCAAAACTGATTGGTTCACGAGCTCAATAAGCTGTAGCAGCAGTCAACAGCAAACCAAAACCATTTCTTGTCCATACGACGTGTTAACTGATAACAGTTCACCGCATCTGTGGCGAGCAGCTGAAGTGACAACCGCGTCCAAGGTTCAAGGCTTAGACACTTGGCAACAACACAATTGAGGCTTTGGTTGGGCCGCGCGGAAGTTGGAGAGTCTAGATAAAAGCTTGAGGGTCCAGGGATGCTCCGGGTACTTCCAAATGGTCAACCCACAAACCCGACACTCCTATATCCAAAGCCTGGGGTCTTGAACTTATGCAAGAACCGGCAACGCCCCGTATCGCCCGTGGTGCTGCCGATCTTTTTTTCTCCACCATGCCCAACTCTCAAGTGTGTTGGTCGAGTTCTTGCAGAAGACACGACCTGATGCATGAGCTACATGCAGCCCATGCTACACAAAGCCACGCTTTTGACATAAGAAGTTCCGACCGCAACAAGATCCTCACCAAACCAGGTTGTTTCAAGGAAATGAAGCCACTTGAAAATGAAGAAACAACATGAAACACATTCTGGAGGACTGTACGAAGAACAATCCAAGGGCTCACTCTCGATAACACCTGATAAGTGCTACAAGCTGCTGCCAGAGGCGTGTTAAGTTCTGCATGTGTGGGTTGGCCAAGTAAGCAGGTTTCCAACCGCATTGTTTGGAATGGTCTCGCAACAAAATGTAAGCAAACTAGTAGCGCGGTTGGACAGGCTGCGAGAAGCTTCATTGACTTAACCCGTGCTCAATTGCAAGCTCTGCAGCATTATTCCGCCTTTTTTGACATGAATAAACCATCACAATCGGCTGCGATTGCTACACCACCTAAACCTCAATTACACGAAGACTCTACGACCATGTAATGTACCAAGCCTCGCAGAACATGTCGTCAGTGGCAAAATAGCAACAGGAAAAAAAACGCTTGGAAAGAGCCAGCCATCCTGTCTCTTGCACACGCTGTCCAGAGACTACGCAGCCTGCCAACAGCGCCAGCGCCTCGAAGCGCTCGGTGGCGACCTCTCGCAAGCACATCATGATCCTAAGGCGGGTAGCCAGAGCTTATCATGGAAGCCAAGCACGGCAAGGAAAATCTTGTGCAATTAGCTTTGTGATGATTCTGGTTTGGCACAGTCGGGAAAAGATGCAGAAAAGGAAAGCCTGAATGTAATAGTGCTCCCAAGCGAGGAATGTCCTCTCGAAGAAGTCCAGCACCAAAACAACGCGTAGTACCCGACTCCCCCACCCCGTGCCTCCCATGGGATCCCAACCACATTCCACCTCCAGCCAGAACTCAAGCGCTTATGCAATTGGCTTGGTGGGTGGCACACGCGGGAAAAGATACAGAACATGAAAACATGAATGTAGTAGTCCACAAGACATCCATGCAGCAAGCCAGAGGACATGCTTCTCTGCAGCTACCACGACGGCTTCGATTAGAGTTGATGTCTCACGGCTTCTCATTGAAAACACTGATGTTGAAACCAATCGTCACAAGCATCAGCCCTTTCTGTCAAAGCTAACCATGAACTCCATGAATTACTTTCACTCCAAGCCAGCTCTGCAAGCATTTATCAGAAAGAACTCGCAGTAGATGCTTGGACCAGGTCAGACAATCGAATTTGATTGCTTCCAGTACATTCGAAAACGAATACGTCCCGGCGTCTTCATGGGGAAACCCCCTCCGATCATGATCGCAGCAGACCCGACTCCAAGAAACATCTTGCCCTAACCCGTTCAGGATTAACTGACAGCTTAGAGGCAATGCGGTACTGACTGCAAAATTCGCATTTCCCCCATGGCCTCAACAGTCACGATGGGGAATAAGAAGTCCATCACCTCAACAAACGGTGAATGACGGGCGAGTCTCAAGCAACCACTGGTGCAAGAGTCCACCTCATTTGTATCTGGGGTCTCGGCGATGATGCAAAAGAGTCACTAGAGATTACGAGCGAGATGCTGAAAGCCAAGACATGCAGCAATGTCGAAGTCCATCACCTCAACAAACGGTGAATGACGGGCGAGTCCTCCAAAACCATGCAATCCAGCTTTGCAAGCATTTACCCGAAATAACTTGCAGCAGATGCTTGGACCAGGTCAGACAATCGGGTTTGACTGCCTCCAGCTTCTCGTCTTCATCCTTCACAACCACCTTGGGGATTCGTGGGGAAACCCCCTCCGATCATGCCCGTGGAACCATCCAAGCAACATCTTGCCCTACTCCCTTCAGGTGCAGCTGACGGCAACACGCGGGGCCGGACATGAAAAACATTGAAAAAGTTTGGCTCTCTGAGAAGCCCGGCCTTGGAGTCGCCGAAAAGGAAGTCTGACATGTCCTCAAGAAACGGGATATGAATGACAGGCGAGTCTCAAGCAACCGCACGGGTCCTCGAATAGATGGTCTTGGAATGCTACGTAAAATTCAAGAGCTGACGCACACAAATTGCAACATTTGCTGCATGTCTTGGCTTTCAGCCCTTCGTCTCGGAAGCCGCGACAGGAGCCAGCCGGAGCACGCTTTCGTTTCGGGGTTTCGAGGATTTGGAACCCTGAATCTCCGCAAGCCGGGAAAACTTCCCACTTTCGCAAGACCTTCAAGATCTGAAGCCACATGGCCACGGACGCCAAAATGATTTCTGCAGCCGAGTCGCGGCTCGCTTCATGGCAGGCTTGAGCCCTCCAAGGCTACCCCGCAGGCCTAAAGCCTCGATCCGAGAATCCACGTCCAGGATGGCAACATAGTCTGAGGCTGCAGCGACAAAGCAACGCAGCAGGCATGCCCCAACAGTCGCAGGCAGGAGCCTTTTCCAATGCTGAATGCCCTTATACGTCCAGAGTCTTCAGCGAGATAAGTGAACTTCGCACAGGCCGCTTTCGTTTGTGCCGGGAAGACAACGCACACACTTCATTGGCTTCGGAACAAAGCTTGTGCAGCAAGACACAGGAAGAAGAGAGCTTCAGCATTCTTGCTTCTGCTGTCACCGCGACTCAGGTAGAAACAGGAATCATGCCATCTTCGACATTGTGCTGCACACACTGCAGCCCGAAACGCATCTGACATGTTTGCGAAAGCCTTCTCAGCTTGATACCACGCCTCTGACACGGCAACGCCTGTTTCTATGCTCACTGTCAAAGCGGTCCAGCACAAAGCCGCCTCGTAACACACCCCTGCCCCTGACCCTGATGCATAGTCAGATGCCGACATGCAAGAGTCCAGATTGAAGGGCTTGCTTAAGGCTCCGATTTCTGCCCTTAGCGGGCCGCATGGTCGCAAGAGGACGGGATATTGCCTGCCCAAGATCAGAATCTCTTCAGCCGTTGCCATTGCCTCTGACAGTGCCTTCGCCGCGTTGACAGAGTCACCCGCGCAAAGGAATGCACGACCGGCCTCGCTGCACTGGAGGTAGCGTTGGGAGATTCGCGCCAGCGGCCTCTGAAGCGAGGTCTCGGTCTCTCCCAGAAGTCCTTCTGCGTTCTGCAAGAGCGACCGAAAGTCTGACGAAGTCACTTTCCAAAGAGGCTTGCGAAACTCAACGACGAGAGCCTGCAGATTGGGGGGTCGAGGCTCCTTGGCAAGCTTGTCCAAAGCAGCAGAGACCAAAAGCTTCAGCGTGAGCCGCTTCCAACGATCTCCGGTCTCCTTGGGATCGAGGCGGCTCTTCTGCAGGCAGCTGCAGCCCTTCTTTTGAAACTCTTCCGATCCGCGATCACAGGTGCAGCTGCCGCTCATTCCCAGTGCAGCCCGAGCAGAACAGGAGACGAGGTCTGCGAAGGCCATCCAGTGCTTGTGCCACTCTAACCACTTCGGTCGTTGGGCATGCAGTGACATCTGCCTTTTCCACTCCTCCAGCCCCGTCAAACATGATCCAAGATCAACCTTTGATGCTGCCGTTGCCAGTCGATAGCCCGCTTTCGATCGGACGAGTATCTGCTGCAGAGCATGCCTTGTTGCGGCATGCTCCAACACCCTCTCCGCAACCAAACTGGCCTGGCCACACATGCATGTTGACTCAGGCACGAGGAAGGAGAAGATGTTTTCCCACAGCCTTATCTTCTGAAGCTTCCGTAATGGACTCTTTTGTCTCGGCTTTGATGCTTCCTGCATAAGAAGAGCTAGCTGCCTTCTCCACTGCTCCGGGGAAGCCGCAAATCCAACTGGGCTCCAAAGTTGGCGGGGTGCCTCTTCTCTGCCACTGTTCTGAAGTTGCACCTGCAATACCATGTCACACAACGCCAAGCCACGCCGGGCTACCTGCAAGGACTCCTTGAAGATTTCTGTGCGCTCGAGAGGGCTGTCCAATGCATGCATCAGAAGCTGCAATGCTTGTTCCTGCTGCTCTTGCAAAGGTATCCGCAGATCTTCCAGGACCTTATGCTGAAAATGCTGGCGCATGAACGTGATCAGGGCCGGAAGGTCTGCAGGCACTTCGTGGGACCGGGCCATGCTGACCTCGCTCCTCTTTGGCTGCATCTGCACGGGTGCTGCAGGCGCAGCAGGTCTCTGCCATGCAAAGTTGGGCTCGACCAGAAACCCGTGGAGTTCGCAGAACTCCTGGCCTCAATCGGCTTCACCAGAGATTTTACACTGGGATTTACATTGCTCAAAGCTAGTCATAGCCGCCGAAGCTGACTAGGAGACACCAAGGAGACGAACACAATCAGCCAAGAGGCAGAAGGCAAGGTTCAGCTGGAAGTCCTCATCGTCAATCTTGGCTAACTCGGATCGCAGCATTGTTCTTGGTCGTCGATGGTCTCGGCCCTGTCTGTGTTCTAGTTCTGCTTCCAACCAACCGACGAACTCAGGCAAAGTGACGTCAGAGCTCGTGTCTGAGACCAAACTCGAATCGTCTGCAACTGGACCTGATGCCACACGATCTAAGCCCAAATCCAAGCACTGTCTGCCCGACTTGACCCTCTGATTGTAGTCATCCAAGCTTGCCAAGTGCTCCACAACTCCCTCCTTTGACCAAAGGGACAGCAAAGGGCTCCATTCACTACGGCTTGCGTTGACTTCTAAGAGGGCGCAGCCAAACTTGGCACGCGTGATGGCAGTATAGAGGACCTTGAACTCATGTATCGCAGGAATCATCTCATAGAAAGTTTGGCTGTGCTGCAGAAAGATGTCGCCTTCTTGCGATGAAGCCGCGAACATCGCAAGCTGAGAACCCTCTGAGCTGGCATCCGCCAAAGACCCGATGGCGCGCTTGTGGGCCGATTTCCCAAGGAGCTGGACGATGAGAACCAAATCGAACTCTAAGCCTTTCGCCTGCCGTGCAGGGGCAGGCGACCCACAGTGCCCAACTTCAGGATGCCCCCTGCTATTTCTAATATGCATGCATTGACATGTACGAAGACTGACAAAGATTGGCTGTTTGCCTGCTTGCTTTCAACACTTCGTGGCAAACCGATTGCAGTATCAGGTGTCAATCGCTGAATGCTCTGATGTCAACTGGCATCACGACTACCGCACTCGAACACCAAACCGCTCTCTGCATCAAACCGGGTATCGCCTCAGGAACCGTCAGGATTGTGGCTTGGCACCCGCCGGCACGCAGCTGCCTGAGCTGCTGCCGCGCTTAGCTACATCGACCCAACTGGGCTTGGTTACTGGCTGTTTCGGATGGTATATATATATATATATATATATATATATATATATACACACACACTTTCTATACTATATATACTCTATGTACACTATACAGCAGGCCCCAGCTGCAGCACTTGCCCAAGCTTCAACATGCATATGAGAACTGTGACTGGCATAGGGCATGCTGGTGTGTGAATAGCTGCACGTCGAGACTCTGCATGCTATGGTTTGTGCCTGGCAAAAATTTGACCAAGCACTGTCTTTTTGAAATGCGTCCCAGTTTCTCTCTCGTAGCACCATCAGGTACCTGGCATGTTGCTTGTATCTGAGGCATTTTGAAAGGATTCGGACGGGGAAGTCATTGAAAGCTCTCAGGCGTACACACTTCACCTGGTGCATGGATGAAATATATTTTGCCTTGTGCTCCCCCAACAACAACATACTGGACCTACTTGCTAGGGAGAAAATTGTGAAGGTTGTTCTCAAAGTTGAAACCTCCGTTTAGGTCCCCAAAAGAGTACGGTAGCGTGCTGAACAGGATCCTAAGGCCGGCTAATTTGGAGAACTACCCATGTGACGAAGTGTGGCGGGCAAGAAGTGACCCATGGCTGCCTAGACAACATCCTAAGCCTGCATCCTGGTCTTACGACGAGCCTCTCAACCACCTCCTGGCCTTACAGAAGCGGCAAAGAGGGTCGAGCCGTAAGCCTTCAAAAACAGCCGAAGCCTAGCAAACCACCTGGACGAACTTCACTGCCCTCTGAGATTTTGATTGGCCGTCTGGTTCATGAAAGGCACCAGGACGGCCGTAGAGCTGGCATCTATGGCCCAATCCAGCTGCAAGCGTCCGGTTCCTGGGTCCAAGCTGATCCTAAGAAAAACAAAGGCTTTATATCGCGTCAAGCTACCAAACTCGGCTTTCGTATGCCTACCTTGGCATTCGAGATTCCGGCAATAACCTCCGCTGGACGGTTGGTCTCGAGTAGAAGGGGTCGAACGCGCATCTTGAGTCCGTCGTCAATCTCCTGAATATGATCTGCAGCACGAGGAAACCTGCTGAAAAGCAGCCCGGTGATTGAATTGGCGAGGGCTCGAATACCAGGTGCGCAGCGATAGTTGTATCGCAACACATGCAAGCCATTCTCCGTGTCATCCTCTGTAGATTCGTGTCCTGTCCAGACCCAGCATATTTGCACTTGGTCTGGCAAGATCGGGACGCGAGACAACTCGATGTGGTTAGATAATTGCGGGTTGCGACCTCTAGCTTCAGATTCATACCTGCGAAAAGCTTGTGCTCGAATTCTCTATCCTTGGCCAGGTTCACAACCCGTCCTCGCAGCTCCCAGATCTTAGTGTGCGCTTGCATGATGTCCAGGAAGCAGAAAGCGCTTCCTGGGTTGATTGTCTGACATGTGTCGCCGGCGACCGTGAAGCCGTCCCTGTCTCCACAAATGTCTAGCAAAGCCGCAAGTTCGGTGGGCGCGAAATCTTGGACTTCATCCACGTAAACTTCATGAACACGGCCAGCACCACGCATGCGCTCCCGAAGAGCGATGGCCACATCGATCTCATCGTTCCTGCGCATCCTCTCCTTGATGACTGTGTACTCCGTAAATGCTCGGTGAATGGCTCGACGGTCAGCAGGTGTCAGGTGGACACCTTGTCCGCTCACTGGCATCTTGAGATACTCATCGAGGCTTAACCCGTTCCAGTGCCAGTGGACAAAGGGGCGCAAGCTGCAGGAAAATTCAGTCCAAACGGCTTTCGCGGACAAAGCCAATAAGCCATTGAAAGCTCGCTGCAGCTGTGGATAAATGTGCTGCTCGAACTCTCTGAACCCGATGCAACCGCCAGTGGGTGACCTGTTGAAATGCGAAACCAGCTGGTTCCACGTGAAGCACAAGACCTTGCCGCTGGCAGGCCATGCTTGCTGCCCTGGAGCAGAGATGACTGGAACATTCGCAGACTCAAGCTGCTTCACTACGTTGTCTCTCAAAAGCTGCGACTTCGTAACGAAAAGCTGGGACTTGGGCCTCACATCTGAAGCCCAACGTTCTCTGCGATGAATGATCCGCTGCACCAAGACCAAGGTCTTCCCTGTGCCCGAGCGACCTTGAAGGAACAAGCTGTGCTCGTATGCCACAGCTTCCTCCTGCTCGAAAGACAAGCGAAGGAGATCGGAGTCCAGGACGCAGCTCCCGGCCTTGGCTCGGTTCCCACTCTTAGTCTTCACCCCTCCTTAATTTCTTTCTAATACGAAAATACCTCAAGAATGCAAGGTGCCAGGGCGATTTACTGAAATTACTGTTTGGGACCTAGCGGCCCTGGGCTTCTCCTTTCCCGCCAGCTTCCGGGACGCTTGAAATCGACTCTCAAGCTTTGCGAGACGCTGCCGCAAGGAGAAGTGCAGGCGACGCGCGGGTCGATCCATGGCATCTCCGGAGAGTTCCTAGGTTCTTGTTCCGTAACTTAACTTCTGTTGCCATGATATTCATATAACACTAGACTCGCACCGTAACAGTTTAACAAAGACCCAGGCTCTTCAAAGGCAGCAGCGATGTCAGACATCTGCTCCGGCAAGGTGTCCATCTCTTCTGATGCCAAGGCTTCTTCTGCTTTCTGCAGCCGTTCACACAGTTCCTGTAACTTCTCCGCCAGCTCCGTCCCATCGAGAGCCTCGAGAGGAGCAGGTTCCAGCCATTCCGTGTTCACAGGCTTACGTGCTCGCCGGGAGCAGAAGTTTTTCGCATCCTGGTGAAGATCGCGTGAAAACTGCCGCAGCACCGGGAACATGTGGCAGGCTCCGTGTAGCTTTCACAAATGTCGTGTGCTGGATAGTCGCATGCTGCACTTATGTGCCGATGCTGTAACCTCGAATGAGGTTCATACCTGGTAGGGCATCCGCTGGATCATTTCAACCCTGGAGAGAAGCAGCAGCGGAGCACACTTCGAAGCCATGGCAGCCATGGTCTTTTCTGTGGTGGTCCGCGCAGGAGGATTTTGTGCTGCCTTTCTGTTTCTGAGCCCTAAACCAGTGCCTTTTCAGGTCGAAGACTCCGTCCTCACATCGGCGACAGGACCCGTTGGACGGCGCTGCTCCGGATTCGTGCCGTATGTACCCGGTGAGAGAGGTATCACGCGCAGTTGACGATTGCTTGTTCTCGAAGTGAGATCGTTCTGAGCAGACGAGGATGTGACTGCATTGGGGAAGCGCACGAAGTTCTCACGTGACGCTGCTCCTAGATCACCACGAACTTCAAAACACTCAAATCCTCGCGTGGTTTCCCATCGAGCGAAGTGCGTGTCGCAAAGTTGTTGCAGCAGGTCTTGTAGCAGCAAGCCAGCACCTACTGTAGGATTCCGGGTACCAAGCCATGTATTGGTGACGGAAGAGTTTTGTGTTTCCTTGCGTTCTGGGGGGCTTGGCTGTTGATGTCTTGGCTAGCTACGGCTGGGCTGGGCTGTTGTGTCGTTGTGTTAGAGACTCGAAGAAGCACATCTGCTAGGCCAGGCACATGTCTCGATTGACTCAGTCACCCACTCACTTCCACAGTTGAGATCTGTGGGGCTCTGCATGACGACAGAATCGCGTCTCACGTTGTTTTCTCAGCTTACGGTGCACTCCTCCCCTTGTACCGGCGTGGCCTGCACGCTCCGAACAGTGTATCCCTCTCGGAGCCACTGCTGGACCTCCGGATAATGCGACGGGCTGAAACGCTTCCTCATCAAATCTGTACCAGAGGAAATGAAAGCAAACAGCTCCTCCTGCAGGCGCTGTTGGTACTCTTGGGACTCTCTGTCCGACTTTCCTTTCAAAACATCTTGCGACTTGGCACAGACCCGGGCCACCAACTCCTTTAAGGAGGGCAGCGTCAGGACCGTGAGTTGCGCCGCCCAGTTCAGCCGAGCGTTGACACAGCAACGCCCGGAGACCTGACAGTTGGATGGGAGAACTGACCGGGGAAGGTGTAGCGCCACATCATTGTCATACACATCACTGCATGCATTTTCACCTGCGTGTCTAGAGAGAGAGAGAGAGAGAGTCCCCAGAGAGAGCGATGATGTATATGTATATATATATATACATACATACACACATGCATGTATGCACACATTCGCTCATTCATGCATGCATACAATCGTGCGTACACATACACACGTGTACATACAGGCATACGTGCAAACATAGATTTGGTGTATAGGTTAGAATGCAACTGCTAAAGCACAGGTGCACTTTAATCTTCACCTCGACATGTCGGTCGAGCCAAGGCACCTGAAGGTCCAGATCCAGGCGCACCAAAGTCACCAGGCCCGAGGTGGGAGTTTTCCCTGGGTTCCAAGCAAGGAAAGCAGAAGTCGTGTGCACTAAGACAACATATGGGAGTTTCCGAAGATAGGGGACCCGAATATGGTACCCTAAATAGTAGGATCCTGATTATAAGAACCCCCGAATGTGGTACCCCTATTCGGAAACTCCCAGATCCCTCTCATGGTCGGGTTGTGCTCTGGAGCTTGGGGTGTTTTGTATCGTAACCGATACTTACGGTAGTTTAAGGTTGGGATGCCCCTGCCACGAGAAGGAAAGCAGAGTTCCTGTGTACCGTATTTATTGTTTCTGCATTCCAAGATCTTTCCGAGAACTTAAGTACAGTTCCTTAACAAGGGAGTTTCCGAACATAGGGGACCCTGATATAGTACCCTAAACAGTAGGGTCCTTATGATAAGGACCCCAAACTAAGTTTACCCCCATCTTCGGAAACTCCCCCACGGGCCCAGGAGCTCTTGGGCTCCTTGGCGGAAGGGCTGACGGGGAAACCCACGGAGCCGGCGCTGAGGCGCTGCGTCTTCGCGGCCGGGTCCAGCGCCAGTGCCTCGGCGGCCGAGGCTCGACAGAAGCTCGTGGAACAATCATGGCCAAGAGGGGGGAGGTAGTAACCTTACAGTATAGCCCTGGTCATAACGCCTCCCCAACACTCTCTGCCAAAGACTCAGGACAGGTCTGAGGCCAGTATAGGAACCCTTTCTTTTCAGCGCGGGCTTTGGGTGCGTGCCGGCAAGCTGGAACCCTTTTCAGCATGGGCTTGGATTGTGTGCCAGCGAACCTGCTTGGAACCCTAAACCCCAAACTCCTAAACCCTAGGAGCCCGATGAGCAAACCCCCTTTTAGCTTACCTTTGGTTAGTAGGGAATGCAAGAAATGGTAGTAAGAGTACTTATAATTGTACCCCATTCCTCCTTTCCCTACTCACCAAAGGTAAGCTTAGGATCCCCTCAGGGCTAAAGCTGAGACGTCCCGAGGCCAGGGCCAGCTCCCGAGTCAGCGTCTGAGCATGGCCGGGTGGGATGCGTTGCAGCAGGTCCTTCAACTTTGGGGCTTCAGGGATTATAAGAGGGTCTGGAGGAGTTTAAGGTTCAGGGACAAGTTGAGGGACTAGGAGTTAGGGGATGTTAGGCTGGTAGAAGGCTGCTTGGCAAAAAGCTCGGGTTGGAGATGGTGGTGCGGACAAAGCCAAAAAGATGCAGGCATCACAACTCTCCGAGCTACAGGCTGGAAACTCCACTTTGGTTTGACCGACGGCGTGCCCTTCCAGCTTCCGTCCTCCTCCAGCTCTCCCAGGCACCTGCCATGCAGTCTGCGCCTATACGATTTTGCACCCAAACCCACACAAGATCAGGTTTGTTTCCACAGATTGCCTTAGTGGCTGTGCACCTCCAGGTTCCATGCTACACTCACTTTCTTGACGCACGCCCCTTGACGCAGTGGCCTCTGCTTTGGGATGATGTAAAGGCGGCTTTTATAACAAGGAGGAGTTTGGGTCGCCTGTGGTAGACGGTAGATGAACACGGGTCAGCTTCGCAAACAACTCGGCATCTTCAAGTGCACAGCGGCTGGCGGGCAGTTCCAACATTTTCTATTCAATTAGCTACGTTTTCATGAACATATAGGTCTGTCGCAGACACGCGCATAGAGATATGTAAGCAGACATCGACAAAGGAGAGAGAGAAGAGTCAGAGGAGAAAGTTGGGATGTTTCACCTGTTAACCTAAGCCCGAGTACCTTAATTCCCTAAACTGAGCTCTCCGTCGGCCTCCGCACCCCTTTCAAGCGCTCTCGCCGCGGCAGTGCCAGCAGACCGTTCAGGGAGGCTCGCTGGGCCTGGCTGTGGGGACCGGGACGTAACCATCTATGTATACATACCTATATTCTTTATAGACATGTATATGTCTATATATATGTGTAATTATGTGCCTGTGTTGCGAAAGACCTATCTCTCTATATCTCTATCTATCTATCTGCTCTATCTGCTCTATCTGATCTCTCTCACTCTCTCTCTCTCTCTCTCTCTATGCATATCTATATCTATCTATATATATATATATATGTCTGTATATATATATATATGTATACGGACGGGGAAAGGACATGTGCGTGCGTATACACTGAGGCACATGCACAGGCTATAAAGGTTGCGTGCTTTTGTATGAGACGTACGCGTCTTCGGAAGTTTCCGACTTAGGGCGGCCTTCTCGTCATTCTCCGTGAGGTTCCGGAGCACGTCGCCAAAGTGCTCGATGCCCAAAACTGACCCGAGGCCACCAGCAGCCACGCTGAGAATTGGCTCAGGCGAAATAAACTGCACCACCTCCCCATGGGAAGCCGCACACGTACACTCCAAAACCCTTTCAAAACCCTACCTGGTGCCGTATCTCTTCTGGCTCTGCATCTTCTTCTCGTCTCTTTTCACCCGCTCCTCTGTTCTACACTCAGGCCTCGGCAATGTCCTCAAAGCGTACTCGCCTCCAGAACTCAACGACTTTTGTGTCGGTCGTGTCCTCAAAGGGCTCGATTGAGTCCATCGAATTGAAGGGCATCGGAGTCGCTGGAGCCCGGGGCGCATACGGATCTGGGCCTCAGCTCTTGATTAAAGATACCATATTGGGGATACACATAAACATACATCCATGCATGCCTACATGAACGGTATACAAATACATATCTAAATAAACCAACGACCTTATAATATACATATGCATGTATATGTATGTACATTATATACATATATACATATATACATATATATATATATATATATATATATGCACACTTACATCGTAGCGCAGATTATGCTTTATATGCTGTCATCGCTGTTACAATTGTCGCTATTCGTGTCAGTACCAGCAAGGCTTTTGTTCGTGTGAGTGGTACTTTTGTTACTGTTGCTGCTGTTGTTGTTGTTGTTGCTGCTGCTGCTGTAACTATTGCTATTGTCGTTTATGTTATTGTTATTACTATGACTGTTGCGGTTGCTCTTGTTAGTATTCTTGTTTTGTTATGCTCATCGCTACTCCCTTAACAGTTTCTCTCAACGAGAGCCCAGGGGCCCTCGAGAGTCACGCGGATGATGAACTTGGCAAGCTCGTGCCCAGAGGTTGGCGAGAGCTGAGCCACCTCGAGGTGAAATTTCCCTCACCCCTGGGAATGTAAGGCCTTCAGAATTAGAATCAGGTTTCGGGAAAATATAACTGAATATACATAAATGAGTACATATATATGTATATATATATATATACACATGTACATACATATATACATATGAGGGCCGAACGGGGAGATCGTGGCTAAGTCTTCTGACCACTAGATTACTTGAAGGATCTGAGAACGTATCAAACTGGTTCCAAGCAGAGCAGAATTATAGTTAGCAAGAACCTCAGGCAGAGCGCTTATCTGTGGACTTGGAAATATTAGAACCTGCTGAACCAAGTGCCCCGAGCCTGTAAGCAGCCTCCCGGAACACGAAAGCTGCTGCACTATGTCACCAATATAGGGGCCTGAATAATTAGAATGTGGTTTTGGGGCCCATTATGCTATACTTATAATAAGGAACCCCCCATAATAGTATAGGTAATTGTTTGTAGGCCCCTATATTATGTCACTATGTTTCCTTTTGCCCAAGCAGCAGCTGCAGGGATCCAGCTTCGTGAAGACAAATAGCCCACGCTGCACAAAGAGCCTCTGAAACGATGCTTTAAATATTTAACATTTAGGGTGTTTACGGCTCTGTTTTGCATCCCTTTCCCTTCTCGGCCGTCCCCGATCCTACGGATTATCCACTTGGCACACTAACTTCCAAGAATGATACCAGAAACTTTCTTCGAGGGGCCTGAGCTCTGAAGGCATGTTTCCTCGCGGTCCAGTTGGTTCTGCAAAGCCGCCAGGCAAGGTCGAACAGAAGCACCAGAAGGGCTGGCCGTCTTTATCTGAAGCTCCTGTACAGGGACGGACGACTGGAGGAACGATTGTTCTGGACCCCAAGCTGGAGCCTTTTTGCCCTCCGTGGGAGTGGCGTCTTCCAGCTCTGGCATGGGGGGCAACTCGTCCACCTGGCGACCGACGCGTGGCTCTGACTAGGGTTCTCTTTCACTTTCTCTTTCCGCACACTCGGTTCTTACCCTCCACTCTCGCTCTCTGCGTACCCCCGTCAGCGAATGGGGCTCGTTGAAGAGTTGGCAGGAGTTCTTGCACAGCGAGATCAGCGACTTGCCCACGTCACCGATCTTCCTGAGAGGAGATTGGGGTTGCCCCGCTGGATTAGTAGTTAGAGGTGGGCTTACAAGGCCCTTACTTGGGACTACACTTATCTTATCACTTTACTTGTAACTACCCAAGAACTTTCAAGCAGGGAATAGACTGAATAGACAGAGGACTGTCATGTAGGCAGAACAAACCAAAGGGCAGGAAGCCATGGAATCAGCAGATTGCACCGCAATTGGAGTTGTAGACACCAAGACGACTTCGAATACAGAACCTACATGAACCTACATGGTCGGAGCCGCAGGCTCTTCCAGGGATGCCTTCTATGATTCTATAGAGGTCAAAAATATCAAGACCTCTATAGAATCATAGAAGGCATCCCTGGAAGTACGATATGTCAGGTTCCGCATGCATTGTAAAGACCCCGAAATACAGCATCCCTGGACTTAACAAGCTTACGCAGCCCTCGAATGTGCAAGCCGGAGTGCCTTCCTTCCAAACCCTCGGCAAAACGAGGAATCCGGGGTTTCTTAACAGCTAGGTTTTAAATGCATCCTGCCGAGCTGCCGCAAAAATCTACGGTTTTGGCTTACCAAACCTTCATATGCAGGCCTTGAGTAGGGTTTGGGGTGTACTATACTAGGAGTATTAATAGGCCCCGGAAGGAAGAAGAGTATTCCAAATCGGGCTTCCACCTTAGGTTTGAGGCTTGGGTTTGGGTTTTCGGCAGGCTCGGACAATGAAGGCCAAACGGGATGAGGATGTTTTCGGAACACCGCTGGGCTCAGATCTTAATAGTCAGAACAGAGCTCGGGGGTTTGTACAGTACTATACTGCGATGGGAAGCCGTACTACTAAGTTCGCCAATCCCAACCTATGGCAAAGCTACAAGAAAACGATCAGCTCAGTTAAACCCTCTCACATCTCGGACAAGCCAGATGGCAGTCTTCTTTCAGGAGATTCCGCAACACAACCTGCAAACTACACGGGTTCACAACCGCGGCGAGGAACGAGGGAGGAAGAAAGGCAAGGATTGCAGAAAAAAACAGCGACACGGCGATAAAATCAGGTGCCTCGACCGAGAAGTAGAACAAAGCTATGGGGGAATCTCATGTTACCAGGTATGATGCCGAACTATTCGGACCCCCCCCCCCCTTATCACCCGCTTCGAAACCAAGGCTCTTCTCTACTTGCGCCACATCCAGGTCCTCAGCTCCCACAAAGACTTTCAGGGTGTTGCAATGGATCGACAAGGGTTATTCATATGGCTTTCAGGGATTTTAAGGGTTTGGGGTTCAGATCCTGCGTTTTCGCATCTCCCTTTACCAAAACAAACGCGCTGAACAGTCGGATGCCTCGCGTCGTCCCTTACAAGAAGAGCAGGGGTTCTTTATCAGTCTATCCTAAACCCTAACCAGAAACCTGACTTACTGCAACCGACCCCCGATACCCACGAGATTCTTCAGTTCCAAGAAGCCGCAATCTCAGACTCGAGTTCGACAATGGTCTGTCGTGCCTGTTTAGGGTTTAGGGTTTAGGCGTGCACCTTTTTGCAACAGGCTTTCCACTTCGCCCGGAGTTGGAGCAAGCAGCCCTTCCAGCAGTGAATGGATTCTGCCCCTAATCATGAAACCTGTTCAGGTTTATGGGGTTTGAGGTTTAGGATCCTAGCATCCTTTGTACTTAAGCCTTAAGCCTGACAGCTCGAAAATACGTAAACCCACACCATAAAGATCCTGTAAAGAACACCCGAAAATGTCCAAGCCTGGTATGTACGAGCACACATATATACACATGTCCGTATGTATATATCTATGTATACACACACAAACGGAACCTGCAAGCACCCCTTTTTGGCAACAAGTTTCGTTCACAGTCCGACAGCACCCGCAACACCTAAACCCTTAAGCCTCCCGCCTCGTGCGCGTGGGTTATGATACCCGGCGCGCAGTGGGTCTTAGCGTACTCGTAGTTCCGGGACCAGTTCACAAAGGCGCGATTGTTCCAGAGGTAGTTCTCCTGAGCACAAGGACGGCTCATAGACGACCTCCTACGTCACCCATGGTCTCAGAATTCCCACAACTAGTTTAAGGCGCTCAAGACTCCTTGAGGCATTGTCTCCACGGAGGGACGGAGTAGGACGTGTCTCAAAACTCTTTGCTGGCCGGGATACCGAGTTCTTCATCTTCCCTTTGGCCAAGACGGGGAGCATGATTCGGTCCAGCGACATCATCGTCTGGGTCACCTCGACTCTACAGAGTTTGGAGACTTCGCAGGCAGGTTGGTTCGGCGGCCCATGTAGGGTTTAGGGGCGCGGCCTAATTAATTAGAAGAGTGTAGGTTTGGAGCTTTACTTGGCTAAGGGTTTGGAGCGCCCAGCTTCTTCAAGTCTTTTGCACACGATTTTGAAGTCGGGGTCGCCCTTCTGTCTCTGCATGTATCCAGCATTTTTGCGAGTCTCTGTTTGCTTCTGTCTTCTTGGTGTTTCAGTTGTCCAGTTGCACAGGTCCATTGAAGGGCAATGGAATAACACCGACAACCTCACGCTCACATGTCAGTTTGTTGATTTCGCAATTATCTAATCTGTCCGCTTTGTCTGTCTTTCGCGGCTTCACTGCACGGCTCGGCAAAGCGCCAAGTTCGGCGGCATTGGCTGCACGGCGCGATGCTACAGTAATAATTGAAACAACAGCTGGATGCAGACTGCACGGCCGGATTGATGTCCACGCGCTGCTCGCTCTTGTGCTGCTCGTTCGCTGCTCCCTCTCTCTCTGTCCCTCCCCTCTTTGCGATGTGGCCGTGTGTGGGAAATGACAGCTGTGAACCATTCGAGTCACCTCTGCCAGCCGGTTCCGCACAAACTTCAAGGTAGACAAGGCCAGATCCTGAGCCATGCAAGCGAGTAGTCTGCCTCATTTCCTGAAGCTTCCTCCCCCGCCTTGGATGTCTTCTTTGCAATGAGCCTTAGATTTTTGCGTGCACTTGAAAGAACGTCCTCCGATTGAAAGCCATCCGGGCACCGGGCAGCTCGCCACCGAGGCAACTGAGCGTGTAGGCATGGTCCTGCGAAGAGAAGAGCACCAACAGCAGACATTAAACCATTGCGTTTCATGGCCACGATGAAGCAAGATGTTCAGTGAAGGCCGATGCCCGGTCCATCATCTTGGCGCCCATTGCAAAGCCCACTGCCTTCCACAAAAGGAGCTGAAGGGACAAGGCATGAAAGGAGCCGGCGAAACGAATCTGAACCTCGCGGACCAGCGTCAGCCAAAGCTGGATGGCGGAGCGGCGCTGGTCGGGGCCTAGGTCGGGGCCTAGAGGAGCATGTAGCCACAGTTATCTCAGAAGCAACGATTTCTGGAATCCCGTTTTCGGGGGTCCTTGGATCCCCAACCATAGGATCCTTGTGCTGTTGTGTGGCTGCACGTCTCTGTCGCCGCTGCCCCTCTCTCTGCAGCTTTACCCTTTACCCACAGTTCAGGACTTTGCCCTCAAGTGCACAAGGACCCTTTGAAGGGATTTATTTACATGATTTTAGGCAGTTTCCGTTCATCAGCGGCTATCGGGTTCTCCAGGTACAGTAGAAGCCAGAAAGTTGGAATATCCTTATCATAATCCCTTTAAGGTAAACTATATGGGATCCTGCCATTATTCCATATTCCAACTTTCTGGAGTCGGGTAGTATTACTACTATGACTACTAATACTACTATTACTGGTATTACGACTATTACTACTGTTCTCCAGGTAAGGAGATCCTAATATGGTTTCAGGGTAGGATACCTTATAATTTACCATCAAGGGCTTAGGATACTCATATTCCAACTTTCTGGCTTTTACTTTAAGGAGATCCTCCTCGCTCCCCTTTGCCGCTGGGAGCCAAGGGGCTCATGTCGGTCTCTTCGGCGAAGACGTTGGAGGGCAGGCCGGACTCGTCCCCGCGCATGTCCCCAAGCTGGAGGCAAATTAGCAAGCTTATCGTACTGGTAACCAGTATGTTCGTACTAGCTATAGGATTAGTATGAGCAAGCAGTCGGAACCGGGGTACAGAAAGTATAAACCAGCTGGACAATACAAGATCCTGAGTTTTGGTGAATTTTAAAACCGTTTTCAGGGATCTGAATACAGGACAGTCCAGGAACCCCCACAGCTCCTCCTCAACATCCCAAACTTCTTTGCCCTCTACCTCAGGCTACCTCTTTGCCGCTGCATCTTCCCTCTCTTCCTGCCTGCAGGACCGGCTCGCTCATGGCATTTGGGTCCGTCCAGGCCTGTCACTGTGCATTCGTGCTACAGGTAGTAAGTGTAGGCAGCGGGCAGGGCCACTGTCAGGTTTCCGCGCCGTTTCATGTCGGGGCCTTATAATAATCAGAAGAAAATAGTCACCTCTAGTCGTTGTTGCTGAGTAATCAGACCCTTTTGTTTCAGATCCTACTGTGATCCAAAAAGCCTGAAGCTCCTTACACTACTTAGAAAGCCAACACCCCTGCCTGCTTTCATCGCTCATGTGAAAGTTCTGAGAATTGCTGGTTTAGACCCCTCATGAGACTCCGTAAGCTCTGCATCCGAAAGGATTAGAGCCTTAGTTCCCGAAAGCCCTAAAGCCCTGAATTCTTGAACCCTGAATCCTCTAACACTCTGAAACTGCAACCGTGACCGTGTCCTCGTTCATCTGGTGGAGGATGTCCCCCTCATAGCCGGTGGCCATAAGCTGTTTCATCCAGACGTTCCGGTCCACGCCTGAGAGGGAGTCTAGTGTTTTCTAGAGTTCGGAGTTGTTTTGGCAATCGCACTCGGCTGCCGTGAGCAGCGTCGCTCCTAGGGAGAGGCCGAATGCATCCAGAGCGGCGGGTCGTGCTTTGGAAACGGGTGACATGCTGTCTTGCTCTGAGCTCCGATGCTTGAACGAATGTGGCTCTAGGGGCAATCTACTTTTTCAGGCAGAGGGGAATAAGAAAAACAAACTCATCCTTGCCGCCAAAGTGCTGTGGTTTGTGCAGGCGTCGTACACATTTTCCTGCAGCATCAGCCTCATCTCCAAAATCACGGCACTTTTCACATGGCACGCAGGGCTCGGATATCCAAATTCTTTATTGTGTTGTCGGGGCAGCAGTAGTCTATCAATTATCGCTCCTCAGACGAGGGCAATGCATTCCTGCAACGCGTGTGTCTGACTAGGGACCCACCTGTTACAGCTCTTCTTTAGCCGTCTCTTGTTGGAGGTTTTTGCACCTGATCTCTCAGGCATGCCCACCCTTCTGCACAGCTCTTGACGCTTTCACTCATATCCCCCATTCGGCCATCCCTGTCCCAAGCTACCTGCTTGTGTCCAAACCGATCCGATCGGACTCTCACGTATCCCCACTTCGTCGGCATGGAGTTTCAGATGTCATCGACATCTGTGCTTTCATTTGCTTCTATTCTTGTCGAGCCATTCCCGATCCACTCCGAGTTTGCTCCGGAACACCTTCTCTGCTCGGGGCACAACATGACAGAACACGGTCTCTACAATTTCTCTGCATGTTTGCTCCACTCCTCTTCTTTGGTCTCGTCTCTTGCACAGGTCGGCTCCGACTCCCGTACCCTGACAACCACCCACGACGACCAGCACCACTGGGACTACCCTGATCACCGTCAACACCAGGCCGGGGACGGACGGCACCACCCTCAAAGCCCCTCCGTGTCGCCGCACGGACCGGCCGGAGGAGCCTCGTCCTGTAGGCACTTCGACTAGGAGGTGCTTTTAAAGCCTATGAACCATGTTAGGAGGTAAGATCCTCTTAAGCCCAATAAGAGCAAATACAAAACGTCCAGAAGCCCGACCCAGTCAAGCGATTTTTCAGGGCACACACCCCAAACTCTTTCCCCCGTTGTCTGGTGGCTGGGATTTAGAGGATGATCAGGACGAGGCCCGTGCCCCTGCCAGACATTCCACGTCTCAAGGTTTTCGAAGGCCCCGAACTGAAGCCCATGTATTGGAATTTGCCATGAATCGTGCCATATTGGAGGACGCGATCACCGCGGGACTGTAGAAACAGTGTGACTATTTCCAAAATGCGCACCGCAGTGCAATGGGACCCGAGGAACTTGCGGATGCGCCTGCCGCCTGCGGCTTGAACAGGCACTCACCAATACCCTTGATTTAAGGACACCAGTAAAAGCATTGGTATGGTCAGCAGACAAGGGTTATAGCCCTCATAACCATATAGTCTAAACCTATAATACATCTACACACGCACGGACTATAGACTAACTGGGCTTCTGGGGAGCCAGTGCATGATCTTGAAGTGGACGCTCTCGGTCTCCTGGATGGCCGGGTGCCAGTCCTGTGGATCCTCAGCCAAGCTGCTGCCGAGGGTTTGTTCATAGCTTAATACAGGGGCTTTTACGGTCGGAATGGTTTAGGGCATTTTCTCGATGAAGGGGTAGTGGGCTCGCCAAATCCTTCATTTCCTTGACCACTTTTCGTGACTTTGTCCCAGGCCACGATGACCCCCCTCCGTGACACAAATCCCTGACTCTGACAGAGGCATTTGGCTCGATGTGCTCTAGTCACCCTGCGGGCGCTCAAGTGAGCAGTCGACAAGGACATTCGAGGCATCGAAGCGGAACCCTGCTGTCACCAGCTGCAAGTATCGAAGAAAGTCAACAAGACTGTTTGTCTGTCTGTCTGTCTGTACGCATGTAGTCGTTAATCCACATATACATGTATACATACACATACATACACACCAAGATTTGTTCGTACATTTACGTATGCATATATGAGTGTGTGGAAGAATGAGTTAATGAATGGATATTTATGTAACGCATGCCATGTGTGCAGAAATGCAAGGCATGTCACACATGTCGTGTATGTGCTGAGGGTCATGGACTGTTTGGTACTCCTATATGTGATGCAGTGTGTGTAACTTGATGTACTGGTATGTGCAAGTATGTATGTATGTCTATGTATGCGAATGCAGCAGAACATGAAGCCATGTTAGATTGCATGCCTTGCAGTTTCGAGGTGCGAAGTCGAACTCCCCGGGCTCGCACTTCAGGACGTAGAAGCAGTAGCCCAGCAGCCGCAGGAGCGCTGCGTCCACGTGCAGCTTCACAGCCCGGATCTGCTCCTCTGGGGCTTGTTGTTGTGGGTTTTACCGGGGGTTCATACGGGTTTTGGTATGGATGTTTGAAGTGAAGGCCATAGGGTTTCTTCCGGGATTCGCGACGGTTCTAGGGTTCTTAGAAATTGCTTCAAAAGGTGCTAGCATCGAATGATTAGGTTTGATACTACGGGTTTGGGGGCAAGGATTTGGGCAATGGTGCAGGTGTTCGGAGCATTTGGCTCAGGTATAGTCTGTACGGCTTGGCAGGGTTCGAGGCTTTAGAGCTTAGAATTTCGGTTTGGGCTCTGAAGGTTTAGGGGTTTGGTCTCCTGGAGCTTTTGCTGCGTCTTAAACGCGGGCCAGATGTTCAGGATCTGCTGAAGCTGCTCCTGGTCGAAGGCGAAGTACGGAGAGAATCCGAAAGAGGTGCCATGAGAGAGAAGATTCTGTGGCCAAACAGCCAAGACTAAATTCACGACGGCAGGCGCAAAAGACACACGCACACACAAGCACACAAACAAAGAACACCGCAAACAAGCGAGCCTGCTCATGTGCACACGCAGACTTGCAAACTGCGGCCTTCACCTTCACCATGATGGAAAGGAATGGTCGGTACTTGTGCATCGAGATGTGGCAGCGCGTGATGAAGGTTTCGATGAGCCCCACGCGTTGCGAGATTTCGTTCCTGAGCACTGGCAGGTTTGAGGGTGCGCATACAACTTGGCAATCAGCAAGAGCCGCTGCAAGGGCTTCGTCGGGCCCTGCACGAGAAGTCATCTGCTGACTCTGAAGACCTCTCACTACTTCAAGGTTCAACAGAAACAGGAACCCAGATGTAGTCTTTGCCCGGACACTAATATGGGGACCTGTGTAATCGCAAGCAATCCGCAATTGTAAGAACCCACCTTCTGGCCTGCAGACGCCTAGAGAAAGCCGAGCCTAGCCCAAGCCGAGGCAGAGCCTCTCTCTGAGCCGGGCATCAGTGTTTCGTCGGTGGGGTTCATCAAGGTGGCGAGCCGCTTCACAAAATGATGGAACTCATTCCTTACTCACGTCACAGGAATAGGCGCGTCCTTTTTGCGGCGTCACTTCTCATGCCACCCCCCAACTTCTTAAGTACGACTCTACTTGACGCCATGAAGGCAAGAGCTGAGGGAAGTAAACTCTGGTGCAAGGACGGCCCCGGCTTACGGCCTTATGCTTGGGATGCAACAACTTGGTCTTTATGTTATGTGTCGGTATGCTCTGGCCTCTAGCGCGCATAACAGCTTCTTTTCAACCCCCAACCCCACCGCCCCCCCCCCTTGGTTGCTGTTTCCGGTCTTCTGGTCTTCGTTGCTGGCTGAAGGGCACGACCAGAGAGGACGCGCTGTGGCGGTCCCCGGGGTGTTCCTCGTGAATCTGCGTAAGCTTGTAGTTCCGCAAACTCACCTGAGACAGCCGTGCTGCACAAACAAGGACGAGGTTGGAACATTGAGCCAAGAGGGAGATCGAGGTAGTAAGGAAATAAAGAGAGACACAAGCATTTGCAAGAAACTGCTTGGCTACAGAGCAACGAGTACAAGCCAGCTTCTGTAGCATGCAAAACAAAGGACGCAATGCTCCGGCAGCCGGCCCAAATTTGGATCAACACGTACACAAAAAACCTGGAGCAATAAATCGTACATAGATGCACAGCAGCAGAGCATCCAAACGAAATCGGCAACCAATGTACTGACTGCAGTAGAGTCGAGCAACAGCGAGCGAGTGAGGGAGGTACGCTAGGGAGGGAAAGGCACCGGGAAGGACATGACAGGTGCGCTCCCATTGCCAGGTCACTGAGAGGCTGTTGGCCTCCTTGCCCAGGAAGCCGATGTCGTGATGGTCTGGCATGTGGATGTCCCCATGTGTCACGGGGATCGCTGCGCGGTAGTAATTGCCGACAATTCCGCTGAGCATTCCATGGGATTGCTCGATCTTGAAAGGCGCAATCTCGTGCGGGTAGGGTAATATGCCCATGTGCTTGTACATATCCGCGATCTCTGTGACGTGCTCTGCTTCCTTCTTGGACAAATGCCAGCCATGGAGCGCCTGCAGGTTCATCGCACTATACTGCTATCAAAGGGGAAAAGGAGGGAGCCTTAATACGGACCCCTAGGCATATACCCTTAATATAGCTATTATATACCATTATATAGCCCTCACTATAGGGTGGGGTCCCCATCAAGGGTCCCTCCTTTTCCCCTTTGATGCTACGTTCAGAAGCGGAGCATCAGATTATGGGGAACTCGCCCCTATGCCGAAGATCCCATCCTATTGGGATCCCTTACCCAGACCTTTCATGCACACCCTCTATGAACGTACAATCTGCTGAGAAAGGGACAGATGATCACAAGAACATTTCTACTTATAAATTATGTTTGTTGCGATTGTTCCGATTGTTGCTACTTTTATTGGTTCTTGTTCTTTGTGTAACCATAATAACTACAACTATTAGAGCGACGTAACCTTTGCGAGGCTTTTGCTACAGAGTTACTGGGAGTCGTGAAACACATGCATCAATCTCACAAACATTGTCGATGTTGATGCTGGTCCTCTATGGCTTTCTCTGAAGATGCTGAGAGAGGGAACCTGCAACTTGTAGCACGAGTCGAGCGGATACTGTCAAGCAGTTTTCCTGCTGTGCTTGTACTGGGATCCGTGATGGATCGATCGCTCTCGCTTTTGAGTCACATGTCACTTGCTGGCGGGAGTTTGGTTAATTGGCTACGCAAGCTGCGAAAGTCGTAGCCGCGTTCAGCTGTCCAACCAAAGTACCCTGCAATGAGGGCTTCGTCCTTGCTAAGTTGGAGGGAAAACAACTATTACTGTCGCTCTTATTGTAATTGTAACTCTGATTATTACTCTTTCCTAATTAGTTGACTATTCCTGTTGTTGCTCTTATCGTTACTGTGCGTATTTCTGAGTATGAACATTAGTTTTACTATTATGACGGTTTATGAGTATGTGTACTTGTACTGCTTCTATTGTCTGCATGCGTGTTCGTAGTAGCATGGTATGGCGTGACTATTTCTTGTCATAGTGTTAGTATTAAGACTGGAGCTATAAGCTTGTTCTTGTACGTATTTTAACCGTTTTCAATTGGCCAATTCAGGCACAATATGTCTAGAACGTTTTGATTTCCACCACTGCTACTGTACCACCACTACGACGACGACTACTACTACTATTGCGCCTCGTAAAGCTGGTGTCATTGTTGTTTGTCCGCATCATCATATTTGATGCTTAATTTTACTAATACTTGAAAAAAGACGAAGACGAAGAATAAACACTGGATGATTTCAAGCAATGGCCTCTTGATCCTCGGAGCCTACGTTCGTGGACGCCGCGGTAGTCGCAGCAGCGGCCACCGCCACCTGCATCTCCGGGGAGGCCATGGGCGCCCTGTCTGTGGCTCTTGTGGCCCAAGGGGACAAACGGAAGGTTCCTTAGTAAAATTTTAAACGGTTCCCTCGGAGAAGGGAGCCCTTGCTACTTTCTGAAACCCCTTCTGCTTCCTTGGGAAGCCTCGGGCCAGAGATGCCTCAACAGCGCAGGTCGAGAGGTGCACAACACCACGGAACACCAAGCAGGAAGAACAGGAGATACGAAAAGCCCCCCATGAGCCTTTTCCGACTGTTCCGCTGTACTTGGAAATCTCTGGTTAATTGCGAGGCACTGCCAGGCACGAGGTTGGGTGAGACGCATGGTTCGGCGATGTTTCAATCGTGGTGAGGCCGGTAGCCTCCCACGCGGCCGCCACCGTACTGGACTTGTCTCGGCCTCGGACTTCCAGAATCCCGTAACTGAGACTGTGTGGACAGACTTGGTGTTTCACATATCTACTGGCGCACCTTTGAGTGCCTTGGCCATGAATGGCCTGCCGCTCGGCGTGCTTCAGCACGAAGAGTCTGGGTAGCAGAAGACAGTCTCGGAGATGCTCCCGCATAAGCAAGGATTCAGGCCCCGACCCACCGCCGACCACGACACCGTAGACGGTGAGCAGGTAGGTGCCGATCTTGGCCATGGGCAAGCAGCTCTCTAACTCTCTTATACACAACTGTGTGTGATCTTCTCCCTAAGCCCTTAACCCTGACAATCCTGCACACTCGCGAGCACTCAACACGTAGGCTTCCAGCCAACGAAGCAGCCGACACCAGAACCAGGAGGAAGAAGGCCAAGCCCGAGACCGCATCCTTCACTCTGCTCTTGCTTCACTTATATGTTGCGCAATTTCTAGGTCAGATCACGCTACATCAGACTATATTGTTCCATGTCGCAAAATAGGTACTGTACTCTGTTCTCTAGACAGGCTTCTGGAATAAGACTCGACAAGCATGCCACATATGCACATCACCCTTACAGCAACTTGCGGATCGTGCTCCAGCGGTGCCTGCTGCCGCGACAAAGCAGCATTTTGCACATTCCGAATAACATGTTCAGTTTGTCCAATGGTCACCCGTACGCCGCATGGGTGGCTAGATGCGATTGCCTGCGATACTTCGTACCCCGAAAAGTTTAAAGGTTATCTGCCCTACTACGAGATTGCCTTCAGGGCCCCCACTCTTTTTGCGTTGGCACACCACACCAGGGAACCACAAATCTAAGATGCCACCCATGAAAAGCCTTAATAAAGATTCGCATGCCCTCAAAGAAGCATTGTGAACAACCCCCAAACCTGTATAAACCCCAAAAAGCACCCGTGCAACCAATGCCCTCCCATGACAGACCCCGGCCTCCCCGTAGTTCACCAACAGCTGATAGACATGGTACATGAAGAAGAAGAAGGCAGAGATTAAGCCCAGAGTCAAATTGGCTGCATACCTTCCATGCGAAGAGTTTAGGAAGTTTAGGGCTCATCGGGTCCTAGTCCTATGCCCTAAGCCCTAACGGAGTGGCTTACTGGAAAGCCAGCTTCAGCAAGATGCTGACCAGGGTCTCCTGACCCGGCGGACAATGTGAGTTTAGTTCTGTGAGCTACTCCTCAGTTAAGGAATGCACCCTAAATTATAGCAGGATCCCTAATATGATTTCATTTTAAGGTATATTCATGTATATTCCTCAATGTCCGCCACCGGCTTTCTTTGAAAGGTCCTCCTTCCCACCGAAGGCCATGAAGATGGCATCGAACCTCGGGCCGGTTTTCAAGACAAGAGCCAGCACATCTTTGCCCGCAGGCCTAGGCCTTCTGAGAGCCTTGCATCGTGTACCTCGACATTCGAAGGTTTGGCAGGCGAGTCTTTCAGTGATGTCTGGTGTCCCGAGAGAGAGAGAGAGAGAGAGAGAGAGAGAGAGAGAGAGAGAGAGACTACCCCGAACCGCAACCCCTCGCACCTTCCTGAACCCTGACACCCCAACCCATCCGCGCATTTGTAGAACCCCAGAAGGAACCCTCAAAGGAACCCAAATCCTAATCCTAGCGTCGGGAATTCCAGCAACAAGACTTTGCCGACGTGCGCACCTCATGGCGAGATCTTTCCCAGACTGCCACGCGGCCCAGAACCGGTCCCGAACCTCCAAAAAGGCACAACGAACAAACCAGCAGAAAGGCGATGTTATAATGTAGGGGCCTTAATCATTAGAATACGGTTTTGGGGTAAATTATACTATAATTATACTAGGAACCCCCAAAATGGTATAAGTAATTATTAAGGCCCCTATAGTAGGGTCTTATCGTGTGCCGAAAGCGCACTTTGATTTTAGGGGAGTACCGCTAATTCTTCAGAGCCCTATAGAAGCTGCGTTGGCGACTTTTGGGGTATGGATCTCTCTCTCTCTCTCTTTCCTTTCCCCAGGCTTGAGGGCATGCCCCCGCGGGAGCAGCCCGTCTGTCGAAGGGATGCACTCTTGCTTGCTTGCACAGCGTGTGGGGTGAAAGGGTGAGACCCCTCCAACCCTGCGCACCAGCGCGACGCTGGGTGTCCACGTTCGGTCTGAATGTGAAACGTTCTGGGGGGTGTTGTAGCGAGCTGGCTGTGGCTGCAGCAAACCCTTGCGACCTCAACGTGTCCCCCTATGCATTGTCATGCACGACACCTCCTGCCTTGTCCAGCTCGCTTGTGCTGTAGCCCTCTCTTTGCCCGCTACCAGGCACTGTGTTGTTACGTTCGTGGGCTTCTGCACTTTAGTGGGGTCCCGTCTTCTTACAGCACACACAGACTAAGGGCAGGCGTTCCTTAGAGTCAATATAGCAGTACAGCGGGTCCCCACTTTGTGTTTATGATACTCTTTCGCTCGGCCTACTTGGTTTGGTGGATGTGTGCTGTTTGCTGGCAGTGGGTTTTCCGGGTTAGGAAGCAGGGGGCGCATCCCTCTCTCTCTCTCTCTCTCTCTCTCTCTCTCTCTCACTCTCACTCTCACTCTCTCTCTCTCTCCCTCTCCCTTCTCTCTCGCGCCCTGCGCAGGCGTTACAGTGCTGAAGCGGCACACGACGGACGGCTAGCGGCTAGTGCTGAGTCGCGATGCGAAGAGTAGAGCGGCGCGCTTGTCATCCCCAGGCCTCCTGGACTCCAAACACGGACCAAATGCCCACCTGTGCTCGGGACGTCGCGACAGAGGTGCCTATGTCCATCAGCTGATGGCGCCTCTCTCCGTGCGTCTTTCATGATTCGATCAACCTTCTGCTGCACCCTGTCGGCCTCAGGAGGAGCAGCAGAAGTTGCGAGAAGCAGCTCCTTCTGGGGCTCAGCGGAACTATGGCCTCCTCTCGGGCCATGGTGTACTTGTCATAAGCCCTCTGGCACTTCGCATCGCAGCTCCAGAACCTCAGAGAGCTTGCCAGCGAGAATCCGAGAAACAGAGCAGGCTTTAGATGCCGAGCACGCAGCCAGCCCTTGGCATTGTGGTATTTATCCTTACCAGCAGTGCACGCCGGTGGCTACTGTACTCCGTCAAAACCCGGGTTCAGGGACGCTCCTCGGCCGCTCGAAGAGACCTGCGGCGCATTGCATGCGCTGCAAAAGGCTTGGGGTTTAAGGCCTAGAAAGCTTCGG